AAGAGAATCTTAAGAGAAAGTGGAATAGTGTCTGAGATGTAAATAAGAAGTGCATGCCCTAACACCTCAGTATTTTTTCGCATAGAAAGAGCATAATAATCTCTTCAGAAAGAAAAAAAAACAAGAACATACTGTGCTGCCTGGTAACAACAGACTCATGTGATAAGAAAATGAAATATTTTCACAGTTTTAATATGCATCTGCTGATCTAAAACCCTACTAAAATACAAGAATTCAAAAAGGAAAAAAGATTGAAGTAGAAGCAATCTTTTGTAAGTAAAAGACCTTGGCAATGGATGCTGGAAAAGAGCTTCATGGTTTTGCTTGGTCAACATATACTACTGGTGCTGAATCTGCTCACAGGAAAAAAAAAAAAAGTTAAAATATATTTATACTTTCTATTTCATGAACATACAGATTATCCTGAGTCATCTGGTATTTTTAAAGTGTAAGCATACTACACTTAATTATTTAATGTTCAACACAGTATTTTCCTATATCACTTGCTAATAATATGTGAGGAAAAAAATCTCAATTTATAAAATGATTACAGTAAACTTTTCTGATATACAATTACTTACATTTGATCCAATAGATATTCAGTAGGCACCACTTTGTTAAAGTGAACAAAACTGAATCACAATAAGCAAGGATTTTTCATAAAATAATGAAATGTGACAGAACACCCTAGCCTTTACCTGTCCTTGACAAACTTCAAGCAATTATTTTGAAAATATTTACTAATGATGGCTAATAATGGAATAATGTAAGAAACACATTTTTAAGATCCAATTTACTGGTATAAGACTTAAGCAAATTTTAAGTCATAATAAAGTCAGTCACTTTCTTCAAATTTCCACATAAGACCTATATGATAATGATGCCAATCAATTACTCAAATGTATTCTAGGAACCTGTTGAAATCAAGTGTAATTTTTATGTATATAACATTTGAAAGACCTTGAAAGCCAATCTGAATACACAGCAATCTGGACATTGCAACTTACATCTTAGTTAAACAACCACATCATACCTTCAACAGTATTATAAACTCTTCTTATCAATGACATTTTAAGATATCCTCATGCAGATGCAAATCTAATCTGTTATAAATTAATAGCAATTGGATGCTTTAAACTAATTTTTCTCCAATTTTCTTTAAATATTAAATTTGGACAAAAAGATTAGTCTGTTCTGTATGGCCATAAATTAACTAGATTGTTTAAAAGAATCCCTAAAAATGCTTTTCAGGTTATGTTTGGTAGATCAGGGCAGTGAAAGCATGAATTTATGTCAAAATTTTGGCATTTCAAATAAAGAGTGCACACATACAACAGAGAAGCACACCACTAATCTTTCCATTCACCAATGTTATCTGAAAATTGTTGATGTGTGCTTCTAAAAAAAGTAAGCATTTCAGCAAAGTTACTCAGCTCTTTGTCTAAGTAACTGTGAAAAAATACACTATTTTGATATAGTGCAGCAAAGTTTTCTGGCATTTTATTACTTGGTCAGAGAATCTTCTTAAGATACATAAAACAAAAAAAGTAACAAACCCCTTTCATTCTCTCCATTGATTTTCAATACAAATGTCAAGGAAACCCCAATTCATCCTCACATACTATGAGGTTTGAGGAAAATAAATTGCAGGCTTGCCATACATTTAGTTTGAAAAATGGACATCACTTTATGCCAAAAGAGAAGAAAATAGCACAAGATGTATGAATATTTTATCACTGCCAAATGGAGTTAAGAAGAGGTGGCTATAAAGACAAGTGGCCTGCAGCAATATGAGTAAGAACAATTCTAGTAAACTAAGTAATAGGTTTTCAACCAACAATTCAAAACAGAAACTCAAAACTTGCTATACAAAAGTATGGTTCTCTCTTGGACGGACTAATTGAATTTTTCATCCAAACAGACTATGTGCCACCAGGAGATGTTCTGTATACATATACCCCTAAACACTGACTTTTACAAGTGAGTCCTGTGGATCACAGCTTCCAAACTAATAATCACTAAATGGAAAACAGTGTGAACAGGCCCTTCCCTCACAATATTAGTAGTGCTGTTAGGTCAATTGTTCCTAGAAATCTAGTTAATTTTATTGGCTATTTCTCTTTTTGGCATAAAGTCAATGTTTGGCATGTAATTCTGAGCTAGCTTGTAATACTGGTTGTCAGATGATGTTAATTACTGTTATAGGAACGATTAGGCTCTTCAGGACTAGAAATTACATAATATCTGGGTAAGGAACAGAAAAACATCTAGATTTCATTTTCAAGAATCTCACATGTAGGGGAAAAAAATGAAACACCAAAACAAACTGCATAAGAAGGAAAGACATGATCATCTGATCTCACAAAAAAAAGGTAGCTTGCAATTAAAGCACAAATAAATCTAAATTACAAGAAGTACGGATGAGGAATTTGGTAACAACCATTCAGAAACAAAATTTTTCATTCACCTCTTCAATATTCTCAGATCTAGAAAACTTCTGGAATAACCTTCTCATTTCTGCTCCCACTGAAATGAAGGGGGAAAAAACTCACCTTAAGCACAGGCACCAGCCTGTACTCAAAAGACTGAATTTACCGTCCCACAAAGAGGCCCTCTGAACAAAGAAAATAAGTGCAGGTGCGACAGAGGTCTGAACTGCTTGAATTGCATAACTATTCTTATTCTTTCCCAGAGGCACTTGAAAACAAGGCACAACAAAATCTTCTACATCTCCAGTCAATTTTGTTTGAAAAATCAAGCACAGATACAGGATTGAAGGCTGGTTTGCTTATATGCACAGTTTCCCTCTTATAAATTGGAGGGATGAAATGAAATCCACTTCAGGAGAAATATCCTGACGAGACAGAAAAAAAAAAAAAAGGAAGTGGATGGGGAAAGAGACAGAGGACAAAAGAGGATGAGGAAAGACTAAACTGTAAATTGTCAAGACATTCTTACAAGTACAGCTGATCTTCAGTCCAATTACAGCTGCAACTGCGACTCAACTGCAGCTGTTCTGCTTTCCAAACTAAGCTGGTTGATAAGCAAAGCTTCCTGAAATAAAAGTCTACCAGAGTACAAGACTTGCTGTTCACAAAGACTGGGCAAATATGTCAGTTACTGCTTTGAAAGGGGTGCAATCTTTTAAGCACAACTTTTGAACACATGTACCTGGTATAGGAGGCAAAATGCATTGCTATCTTCATAGGAGATTAAATACTCAGCCTAACCAGTACCAAATATTCTAACTATTATATTAAAGTCCAAACACTTGGAGAAAAATTCCAAACTGAGCACCAAAATTACCTCCTAAATTAATTCACTTAAGAAATTAACAAAACCAGTCCTTATTTTCATACCAACAACTCCTTGAAGCAGAAGCAGGGGGGAAATGAGTAACTAACAGACAGCATATCCCTTTTACAGCTGAGCATCTTTGAGAACATCAGGAGAGGGAAAAAGGCAATGTTAAACCATTACCATTATAATCAGTAGTTAGTCTTCAGCTGCCCTGCTTAACAGACCTCATGAACAAGAATGTATTAAAGGCACTCAGAAGAAAAAACTCTCAGAGCTTTGACTGTATGTCATATTTCTATCAGACATTCAACTTTCACAGACTTGTTTCACTGAATCAAAACCAATGTTTAACCTAGCACTGCAAGAAATCACTAATTTTAAATCTTAGGAAAAGTACTGACCCTAAACATATGTTATTCTATCTTCCCATCACAATTAAAGAAGTATATTAGAGACAGTAGGCTGCTGAGGGCTTCTCCCACCATGGCTTGGAGCATGGATTCTGCACGCACAGATAGAAAAGATTACATGTTGATTCTAAGATTACATGTACAGAAACTTTTCTGCCACCTTAGAAAGTCCAGGGAACTACAGATTTCACTGGTTTATAGACTTCAAGCTCTGTCTTTGCAAAAAATTAATACAGACTAAAATTTTATATGCTGCAATTCCAAATCAGTGCCAACAACACCTATAGACATTAGTTCAGAATAATAACTTCATTAAAAAAACCAAACTCTAAATACTGACAGAGAAAAACAGCAGAACTACTTAATGATAGGAAATATATTCAGTAATCATTTCTATCATATGTACAGCAAAGTGTGTACACCATCACCCTCTTAAGCAGTGCTGACTTTACTGAGCAATAAAAGGTTACAAGAGTTGGTGCAGAACAAAAGATGCAAAACAAAGGTCATTGAATCCATTTACATGCCACCTTATAGGCAAAATATAAAAGAATTTCCTTTCTAAAATTAAGTCCTAAAGTCAAACACCATAACTATAACATAAGAGACACATTTCTCCTACAAATTAGTTTTTAAAAATCCTTATACAATACCCAATAGAAATAAGTTTCCTACAATCTTCCAAAGAGTACCTCAGTGCATTTGAACAAGGAGGTTAAGTCCCTTCCAGCATCTTACAGCAACACCCAGAATGGAGAGATGCTGGAAAATAGCTCTCCAATGCAAGCAAGGAATTAAAGCAAAATCCACAGGAGACATTTGCACTCTAGCTGGAAAATTATACGATCAAGTCAATAGTGAAGTATTACACACAGAACAACAATTGAAAATTTTCCAGGTAACTGGACATGATTATCAGTAAGACCTGAAGCATAATGCCAGAGATTAACAGAGAAGAGGAATTTCTGTTTTCTTTCTGTGCATTGTGGACTCAAAATTCGACCTCCTAATAAAATATCTTTAAACATGTGCTCTATTAAAGATAATAGTAATCAAACCTGAAATATAGAGGTAGCCTTAATAATTATGTGAGCCAGTTTTCCAGACAATAGAATGTTCTTGCTATTTGCCAGTAATATTAAATAGAAAAGGCCAATCTTCAAAACAAACCCATGCATTCTTAAAAGCCATAAAGTGAAATAGTTATGGAGCAATTTTCTGTCTGAAAAAGTAAAAAGCTATCTCTAATCTACCACTGCAGTGAAAGCACTATCATAGGCACTAGGATACGTGTAGAGTTCCATGTATCTGGATTTCGCCATACTTTGTCTGGTGTAAACCTGTTGAATTCCAGCTCTTAGGTCATCCCATATCTGGTCAAGACCAATCTGTTTAAGTCCATGCGGGTTCTGACTCCTATTCGACGACATTTTGTATTTCCTGTAAAGTCTTCCAGTGCAGCAGCCTGAGCTCTTGTTATTCCTCCATCAGAATCACAAGTCAAGTAACATTCTAAACTTAGTTGCAGCAACTCAGCAAGATATTCTTTACACACAAAATGTGATGTTCTTCAGGAGGATAATCTGCAATAGGAAAAGAAAGCATACATGTTATATGACGGTCCAAATTTATCCACACTAAAGATACAAAATTTATTATTTAATTGAAATATTGTTGTTTACACAGATGAGAAATACATCTTAAGATGTGAAATACCAAAACCAAGGAAAATAATTTAGCAATTCACCACAAAATGAGACAGTTAGTATCCAGAGTTATCCAAAGACTGTAGGTACTTAGATCAGTGCAGCTGACAACAAAACCCTAATGCTAACAACACAACATAACAGTAAAAAGATTTCCAAGCAGCAGACACTATTTACCAGCAAGTGTAAATAGTTCCTTCCCATTCAACAGTAAAACTCCAGTACTTCTGAACAGCTCTGGCTTCTGTGGTATCTCATTGCTTAAGAAGCATCCTTATGGATATTGAAGATTAACAAGAAAATACTACAATTAACTTTTTCTTCAGTTATCAATAACTCTTCCAAACTTGAGAATCTATTACAGGCAACCTGAAAGGCCAAGGCATTTTGGTAGCAGAGAATTTTCCTATCTGGCAAGCATATGCTTACATTAATTTCTTTGCTTTGTAGAAGATCACCACTTCCTTCAATATAATTTACCAGAAAGAGAGCATACAGTCAATAACAGTGGGAAGAAAGAACTACTAATAGGAGTACAGAATAAATATCAATTAAATTGTGAATGAAGCAATCAGAAAGTAATAAAATGCACTACTCCCTTGAGTTTTAAGTGCACAAAGTTCGGGACATAGTGAAAAAATGGCCACCAATTCATCAGCCTCAAGATACTACGGTGAAGGAACATATTCACCTGGAAAGGTTCACTGAAAGCATTGAGCAGAGAAGATTCATCTTTATACAAGTCCATACATATGTTTACAATTTTAACATGACTTATCCTCCAAAGCAACAGGGTTAAGTACATATCAGAAAATGACAATGTAAAAAATTAGCCCACAAATAAAAGAGTTTTACTAAGTCAGGACCAACTTAATCTTACTGGAGTCTTTCTATTCATACAGGGAACTTGTAATAAAGATGGAAAAAGACTTTTTACTAGTAACTGTAGTTACAGGAGAAGGGCCAATGGTTTTAACTTAAAAGAAGGTCAATTCAGAGTGGATATAAAGAGGAAATTCTTTACTGTGAGGGTGGTGTTGAGACACTGGAACAGGCTGTCCCAAAAAGCTGCAGATGCCTGGCTCTGGCAGTGCTTAAGGCCATGCTGAAAGGAGCTTTGAGCAACCTGATCTAAAGGACGGTGTCCCTGCCCAAGACAAGGAGACTAGACTAGATGATGACCCCTTCCAGCCTAAACAACTCTGTCATTCTGCACCCTAGAGCTCACTGACTGGAATATTCAAACCACAGTGAAACATTATGGTGTTCCATTTTTCTCCAGACAATAAAGTTTTATGATAAATCTGTCATCCAAGGTTCACATGAACCCTTCCGTAATTTCAAGAATAGTATAGGCTGAGACCAAATAAATCCTATTATTTGTTCTTGGTCTCTGAGAAGCAGAAAATAAAATAAATTATTTTAGAACCTACAGTTAAGTCATAGGTGCTTTGTCACAGCCACTTCTAGGTTATTCCATGTTCCACTCCAGGCTTCACAGAGTTTTGAAAATTAAGTATTCTGTTACACCCTCCCTGACTTCCACCCAGTTATCTTGAAGTTCTCTTTCGTCTTTTCCCCTGAACCCTAGAAAGACCAGCTGAGATAGAGACTTTTCTTCATTCTTTTCAGTCAATGACTGTCTTACTACAGTAACACAGAAATTACCACGCCTCACAGTCCTTTGCTTTCCCATGACCCATACACATTTAAATCCCCACCTCTAAGTAATAACACTACGGAAGTATTTTCATTATGTCAGTCTCAGCAACAATTACAGTCTCATTTAAATCTGACATACAACTGAATATGTAGCTAATTTTCTTTTTTACAGGAGAAACAGCTACTCAGAGGATTAGGTAGAAAAGCAAGAATTCAATCAATATACAACTTAGTAAAGACACACCTAAAGTTCAACCCTCCCATTTTTGTTTCTCTAATTACAGCAAGCTAGCTATTAAAGACACATGACAATCATGCATCATAATGCTGAAGTGGAATCGAGATCATGCCTTGCCTGTATTTAACTTCTTTAATTTTTGGAAACTGAACCTGCTGCAGTACTACTGACAGTGGACTTCCAGGACTGAGCAACAAAAGCCCGGAAGAACAAAGGTCCATGAATGGTCATTCACCTCCACATGCACTCTATGCATGTTACACACCCACAGTCTTGGACTGTGATCCTAAGTCAGCATCGCAATAAAAGCAAGAAAATTAATTCCATGTCTACAATCCAGGAGAGCAGAAACACTCTGATTTCTTAAATCTGGTACTAAAGAAGAAATTGCTTTGAACCTGCAGTTCATACTGCAACAACTGCAGTATGTATCAGAATTAACTGTCACTTGCTTATTAATCTGCCAACAGCAAGCAGCCTGGGCTTAGAGTGCATTTGTGTAAAAGTTGTTTTGGTGTACCTAATACAAAATACTTATTTGCCGTATAAGAGCGTCTAACAAAAGGCCAACCCCTTGCTAGCTAGCAGAAAGTATAACCAGCAGATGTTGAGTTTCCCCCTCTATGATGATGGAAATATTTAACTCTCCTCTCTAATTAATCATCTCCTAGTTTTTATGTATCCTGGTGCATCTATGAATACTACCTTTACCCAGAATCTTTTCAACTCAAGGTGCTCCTCATTCACACTGTAATAATTTTCCCTCCCCTTCCCCTATAGTAAACCTCTGTATGCTATGAAAAAGAACTTAATTTTGGTTTTTATTTTCACATGCAGTCCACTACATAAAAATATTCATTATAAGTCATAATTCCACTGCATTTGGCATTAACTCACTATCCTTTGGTTGGTGTCAAATTTGACTTTTGCAATTACATTAATAAGGAATGACAGTATCATCTCACTAACTTCCTAGACTCAAACAATTTACTTCTTCCAGTTAACTACTAGTTAACAATCACAAAATAGAGCACTAGATGAATAAATCTATTATCTACTATCAATTTCTTCCAGATCTATTCATGTGCAGAAAAATAGAAAGGTAATTATTAATACATTACTTTAACAAGAATAAAATTTCAATATGTAAGAACACTTTACTAGAAAAACATACTTATGAAAAGAACTATTCGTACTTAGTGGTTAAACTAAACTATGGTATTAAATTTATAAAAAGAGCAAGGGTAACATAAGGCTTTGTTACTTGGCACAGTTGTTATTATACACAAACATATGATATTCTATTTCATGTGAAAAGTGCTATTATTCTGATTCACACACAAAAAAACTTTTCCTAGGCAAACAATTCTCGAAGGTCAAATTGAGTCCACAATAGTGACACTGCATCTCTTCACCCAACATCGCAACTGCTAAAAAGAGGGAGAGAGTTCCTAAGCCAGTGCTTAGTGCCCAGACTCTGCCTGAATTAAAACCGCACCATTAAGTCATGACCTTTAAATCAGTGAGATTTCTCCTTTGCAAAGTGCTCTTGGCAGGACTACGCATGAGCTGGTCTTGAACTGACCATCACTGTGCTTTCCTACCCAAAGAAAGTAGACTTTTTGCTGACCAGATCAGACTTGCTGCTGACCTGCTTCAAGGATAATATCAGCTGCCTGAGTTGCAACATCCACTCCACAGCTTTGGACCAGAGAACTCAAACTTCATTACAGCTTCAGGAGCAACTATATTTGCATGAGAAATACCACCCTTGCAGTTTCCAGACAAAATAGGCACAATTTGATGCAGCAGGATGATAGTGTTCTATGCCAGCCAATCTTTCAACCCCGCACTCAAGTACTGCAATTAAAACAGTCCAAACAAAAGGAGGTAACACTTCTGCCAAAACTTTAAAACAACCTTGAAGGACTTAAAACAAATGTTACTCCCTCTTTCTCATTACCTGGGGACACACATCATGATAAATAAACATCACATGCAAAGAAATGCAATGCATTAGAAAATACTGGGCTTGTTTTTATTGATAATCTAATAATTAAGAGTATTCTTGAGATATCCCACATCTTTGGAAAATGATGTTTATGCTGGAAGAGGCCTTCAAGAAAATGTGGAAGTTAACCAAGCTTTTATTTAAAAAACATAATAGACCCCACCAGATTTTCAGCATCCCAAGCTATCTGCTGGAGCAAATACCTAATCATTACATCCTAACACAATATAACTTTCAGCTTTACAGCTCCAAGGCCTGTGCATCACCTGTTGTTCCTCCACAACCCCTTATTTCTAAATGACATACTTCAAGATATTTCACTTCAGTAATTACAGAGAGAATTTGAACTTGTCAGCTTCTTGCACAGTAAGAACTTACAGGTTCAGAGCAAGGTTTCCCAGCTGATGCAAGAGCCCAGACAGCACTGTTTTAAAGATGCAATAAAGAGGCACAACCTCTAGACTCATTTTATCTCATCAAATTTCAAATATGAGGAAAATATTCTTGTCATGTCTAATAGCATGAGTTTAAGTGACTGAATTTAATCATACTACACCCAAACCCATTTGGGAAGAGAATGAAGTTTCACTAATAAACTATGGTGGAATGAATGTCACTAAAAACAAGTTCAAAAGCCTTCAGCACTATGAAGTTTCCAAAGTATCTTGACTTCAGCTGATGTGTTAGCATTGTAAGTTCTACACTGTAACACTGCTTAGTTGAGTCATGGTCCTGCATGCAACATTATATAGCACTCACATTTCTGTCCAGAATTATTTTAGGCCACTAAATAGAAAGGCTATGAGCTAGGTAGACAGTTTATGCACTTCACATGACATAATTCTTAAAGCAAGACTAGGAACAAGCATAATGTCCTTAGCACTTCATATGCTACAAACATGTAATTAATTAACATCTGGAGAATATGCCTATAGCAGATATATTCACTGTGCTCCAGCAAAATGA